TGACTGTAGCCATCAATTTCTCGCGAATGAAATCTTACCTCTTCAAAATAACAATGCTAGCTGGTAGAGGAAACGTTCCTCTACCTAATGGTGTCATTATTTTTCATGAGTGAGCTTTTATTCGCGAGAAATCGATGGCTAAAGCCATTGTTTACAAATGCAATTACGCCCCTTTGTAATGTTGGCACTGAAATGTTTTTTTTTTTGTCGCGGATTAGTATTTGAAGTCGCGGATTTCTTTTGAGAAATCGCGGATTTCGCGGATCAAATTTAGAAAATCTTGTAACAGCCCTGCATCTGAAAAGAAGTTGGAGGTAGTTAATTGTTTTTCCTTGATTTGTTTTCCGTCGATCTTGTTTTCCGTGCTGAGCACCAATGTGCTACCGACGCCGGGAGCCAGCTCCCACACCTGGACCCTACCTATCGACCCATCATTACGTAGATCAACGGCTTTACTTACTTGGTAAGCGTGATAACCTCTCACCCCAGCAGGCCTGGGTTCAATCCCAGTCGGCGCCGCCGGGATGTTCTGAGGCCATAACATCTCTGATCACGCCTTCCTTCGGATGGGAAGTAAAGCCGTTGGTCCCCGGTTCATGAGTTGATGGGTCGATAGGGAGGGTCCAGGTGTGGTAGCTGCCTTCCTGGCACGTCGGTAGCATTGGTGCTCAGCACGGAAAACAAGATCGACGGAAAAAACAAACCAAAGGAAAAAAAATAAAATTCTTTTCAGATGTCATTTTGATCAGATCAATAGTTTTCATGCTATGACTTTTTGAAAAAAAAAATATTTTTTTTAATACGCCCTTTTTTAAAGTTTGTTACGTTTGTAATTATTCTTATTACATAGTTCATGTGATAACAAGGAAAAACGACCCTAAAGGGTAACTTCCTTTACCATCCGTCAATTCTCAAGTGCGACAATGTGTTACTAACCCGTTGTGGGGTCGTTTATTCTGTTTGGTTGATGGGCCTGTTTTTGTTCGTTACCGCTCGAACGTGCTTGAGGTCGTTTTAATCTTTAATAACCAAAAAATTAAAAATAAACCAAAAAAAATAAAACATTCAAAATTCGTATTACATTACATCTAAACTGCATATTTCAAGCGTTTACATTACTTCTTAGTCTTTGCTTTAGTCTTATATTTCATAGGAGTCGTGATTTTTGACAATAATGCATAACAGAAGCCACAATTGTCGACTTTATTTTGTGTAGCACTCGGGTTATCAACAAGACATTTCCGGCATAAGTTTTTGTATCCTTTTAAGGAAGAACATTGGTAATAATGTAGATGAGTAGGGTCAAAGCAACTAATTTGTAATAGCATGCTATTTTAAAAAATTCTGTATTTACACCAAAAATTGTGATTTTTTTAAAAGTATGCCATTTGATTACCTATAGTTTGAAACGGATAATGTGATTGGAATCAAGTCGATAGGTCGTAATCGTTAAAAACGTACCGCGTAAATTGCGACTCAGCGGCACTAACAGCGTAAAAAAAACCGCATGAAAAAACCGCGTAAAAAGCGACTCCAGTGTAAGCCATAGTCTGCACGGGGTATTAAGTGACGAACCAGCCACTGGCTGAAAGTCACTCTAATAAAAAAAAAAAAGTATTTAGTTCATATCTCAGCAGTATCATTAAAAAAAACAGAGCGATATGGTGAATTATTAACTATATCGCTGTTTTTTTTTTTAATTATACTGCTTGTTGAAAATTTTCTCAGCTACAACTTTGTTGAAGACCACTTTTCGATAAAATGTAAGGAACGTATTAATGATTCAAGTTTCTAATGTCTTATGAATATGCTCAATCAACTGTTCAGCAGGCAACATTGGTGTTTCTGACGCGTAGAATAGAGTACAACAATCATGGCTACTATGTCACACTGCAGAATACATTGTCGCCCACAAAACAGCTGCTTCATCATGCCATAAGATTGGCAGTCTCTTAAATAATTAATAACTATTTTGATTAACGTTTGGCTGAAAATTGATCTTCTGCAAAGTTGTAGCTGAGAAAATTTCCCATAAGAATAATTATAAAACATTTTAACAGAGCAATATGGAAATAAACTAGAAGTCAATGAACAAAAAGTTTGGTTTTGCCAATACTAATTTCCATACCTAAACTTCAAATGGTTTGTGCCAAGTCAGTTTCTTACCAAATGATTTGAAATTTTGGGAGGCTAATACCCCGTTCACATTACAGCCTATATCACGTAATATAAGCTGTCTTGCAATGAACACTCATAGGATTTCCAGTGAAAACTGGAATGTTCACTCTGAGTGAACGCTCACGGGTCATAAATTCGCTGATTGTGACACAGTGAAAGCGAAATTGACAGATTTTATGTGTCAAATACATACTTTCATGCCTCTTATTGTATTGTACTGACAAGTACAAAATATCATTATAGCATCTAAAGATTCCATAATTTCGAAAAACATTTTTATAGCGAATTGAGTGGACGTAATCCTCCCTCCCCATGGACATGGAGGTTGACGGTACTGAAGCAAAGGGTTATGTTTAATTTCTTTATATTTACAACGATGATGATTTCCCATAGTGACACATATCACCTTCTTAATGCTTCAGTATACCTCAAACGATTAATTCTTGGTTGTTAATAGAACTTCCTTGATGAAATCGGCTCTTTCATGCAGACTGAGCAATTCTGATTATAGTATCAGATTTTTTCTGTATACAGAGGAATTAGGAGGGCTTATTAGAAACTTCTCACCAATAAAGTAATGATTTTCTACTAAATTTTCATATAATTTTATTAATATTTTATTTTATTTAAGCATATTATTTTTGTTACAGTCAATTAGCATTAGCATACAATACAAGAGATTTAATATTACTTGCTCGGTTTTGCGTAAAATAATCAATATGTATTTTGCTTGTAATTACCTTTGATTTTTTTTTTGTGATTTCAAAATTTTCCTAGTTTGGTTAGAAGTTTCGAAGCTAACACATGTCCACAGGCCTAATAGAAAGATAGACAGACAAAGCGTATCATGAAGAATAGTTGCATGCAGGGTTGCTTCCACTCACTTTCTATAGATGAGTGATTTTCGGAGTTTTGAATTCGTTAGATGTTGTAGTGGGGGTTTGTGTTGTTGGATGCGGGAGGAGATTGGAGGGCGGGTGTTTTACCCATAGAGCCTGTCAATTTCGCTTTCAGAGTGTCGCAGTCAGCGGTTTTATGGTTCGTGAGCGCTCGCGATTCGTAGAATCGTTGATTGTGACTGCCAGTGGATTTGGCGGGTTTTGTGTGTCGGACGCTTGCTTTTTGGCCTTTTCTTGTGTCTAACATGTGCAGAGTATCATTATAGCGTCAAATGGTTTTGAGATTCCTGGTTGCGTGAAATATACTTGTGAGAATATCTTTTTGAGATTTTAGTAGTCACGTTTTGTTTGTAGTTTATATGTTATTTCTTTCATGTGATTATCGTAAATAATAGTTATTCAATAATAGATAATTCATCCATATATTCAATAATAAATTTACGAATGACTATAATTTGGATACCTAACAATTGGACAGAATCACTAGCAAGAATAGGTTGTGTTCGCCTTCGAAAATATCGATTCGTTTTTTCAGGGTTGTAGTTTTGGTTTTCATCAGTGGCCCGGCTCTGATTGTGAACGATTTAGGTAGTATTTTTAGGTAACTATTCAGCTTTTAGCACAACTTTGCTACTACGAATCCACAAAAGACATTAAATTGGAGGCGGATTCTGGTACGGAATTACAGGCTGCTATTCTGAGCAACTTATCTTCATAAAATTAAAAATTACATTTAGGTATTAATTAGCAAATATGAATAGTAGTTAACTTTAACATAATTTTGATAAAACAATCATTTCATCCAGTTCACTTTAAAACAAACAAGTATGAAAGGAGATTGCTTAGAATAAAGATAAAAGTAATAAGCGCAATATTAAACGACATTAATTTGAATCTGATACGGTAGGCCATATAACAGAGTCGATAGCCATTGCAAATCAACCATCTCTACCTGCTTATTTTCCTAACTTTCACTATTATTGCTGTTACTCTGACTATCCCCTATGTTCAACAGCTTTCCTTACTATCCGGTATCGTAAACAGGATTCATTTGACCCCTGTGGTTATTATTCTGTGATGCCAAATCTATACCTCTACCCTGGTGCAGTATGGACAGCGATTTTTCGCTGGTGACTTGGCCCTATGACCCCCTTCTGTGCTTGAAAATGAAATGAAAATGAATTGAGTGGAAGTAATCCTGATTATAATAATTCGGGATAATTCCGGGTCAACCTGATATGATAAGAGAACATTAAAAGGATTGGATTTCAATTTCTGAGCATTTGAAGATCTTCGACATGATTCCTCATCAACGCTATATTTATAACATACATTCTAACTGATCGAAGGTCTTCAGAAGAATTTCTGATCACTTTGGAATATATGGAGAAATTACGTAACAGTTATTTATTTATTCGTATACATTGTTACTTATCTTATTAGCTAGTGATTCGCAGAGTTTTGAAATATTTTCGCAATGTTGCCATTTACATATTTAGGTCGATCATTTCACAATGTTTGTTATGGGCAGACATAATCTGATTTAGCGGTTCAAATTTAGCATAATTAGTACGATGGTGACGTACTGTGAACGATTGTCGGTTACGTAATTGGCGAGAGGGTGCGTAAAAATTTAATGTAGACAGCAAATATGCTGTGAAACAATAGCATGTGTGATGCTCTCTCAGTGTTTGACTTTAGTATAACTGGTTTCAAACGAAAACAAGCCACAAGAAACCTACATAGTTTATTTACGTTTGGAACCAATGTCATACAAGAATGATCAGTAGGCTGATTTGGCAGCATAACCCCCCCCCCCCCATGTAAGCTAGATAGAAAAGTGTATTTAAGCTGTTTTTATTTCATATTGGTGTTAATTTTACAAATCTCTGCTAACTATAACAAATTTTATTCTATTCACAGCCAAAATTCTACGGAGACGAAAAGCCAGAGAAATAGCCGTACTGACACGGAAAAAGCAATCCTCCCACATCAAAGCCAGATTCGTCTAGAAGTCTCACCAATTCTATAGGAAAATACAAGCAGGAACAACAAGTGAATAGTATTTTATTCATCTCAAAATCCCGCAAACACAACCTAGATCTATGTGAATTGAATTTTAAATACAAACAAATAACTATATTCTCATTCTACCTTTTTTTTTGCACTATAAGTTATACATGTTGTATTGAAGAAACTAATAATTGGTAATATTTGCAGAATCCCCATTTATTAGTTTCATTAAAATAACTTCTGCAAAACAAGAAACACATCAAATGCAACTTCTCAGTAACTTACCATTTCCATTATTGAACTATAACAAAAACTAAAAAATGATATTGAACAAGAACCCTTGGGGTACAACATAATTGATGTGTTCTGTTTTCCGAGAAAAAAAAAACATGTTACAATGTTTCGCCCACTTTCGGACACTTGTTATCAGAAATGTAGTGCGAATTGTCTCGATTGTGTCACCATATAAATATCGGTAATCACTAATCATGGAGACAGTGATGTTGTACGATAACTTGTGTATACACTCATGACACTTAACCACTTGATATATCTATCGCTAAGATAAGCACTCATTCTTTTACAGTGAGGTAGATTGAGTTTTTACGAAAATGTTTAAATTTTGGCGGTAGGAATAAAGAGATAGACATAAAAAGTGGTTACATTTTATTCATCGACGAGTATATAGAAGCTATCGTGTATATTTTCCTTCCGTTTCATCGGTACGAAAGTAGTGAAACAAGTGAAAACAATAATTAGTATTTGCTGATAAGTAAAACACACCAGCGTGTAAAAACAGGTCCACTGAAACATCTTGTGTAAAATCAGAATTTAGTAATGCATGCTTCGACTTACGAATCGGCTAAATTTTCACCCAGAATACTGTTAATTTTATATTTCTATTACCTTACGGTATGGTCATCAAATAAAAATGTATATGGAATGTATTTAAGTTTATGAATAAAGTATAAAAATTGCTCACATTTTCAATCCATAGTATGTTTGCATTTTAAAGCTAAATGTGGTCAAATGTTCTACTACACTTCTCAAATAATGGTGCTATAGAAATACGGACTAACATCCACGAAGCTTGACTGCTGCGTTTACACCAGCATCACGAATAAATTGGGTTTGATCGTGACCAGTGCTGTAAATTCTCAAGATCAATTGAACATTTTTGATGAAAATGAGTAAAACACCCGCATAAACGCGAACCATAACTTGACCTTACCGAAAATTGTTTATAATCCCTGCTAAAACTTTAACTGTAATGGTTATGGAACTTTTCATGAACGTTTGTGTAATAAAGTTTGAACCTTATGTATTTAGGTTTTTTGGAAGTGAACCTTACAAATAATCGGTTGTTAAGAACCATTACCATTCCAAATTCTTGTTTTCAAGATACATTTTTGGGAAAGGAATTATATTGGAACAATTTTATTTATGATTTGAGAACTTTCATGGTAATGGTTATGGTAGTCGGTAAGGTTAACAGATGGTTTTGTAACATCCATCAACTTTATGTGGAATATATCGCGAATACACAGCAAAAAAAATGTAATATCGATCAATGTAATTCAAGCTGATGTATGAAATAATGATGTAATAGCAAAAAGCAGATACAATATTACATCAATGGATGTAATTTTGTTCGCAAAATCGATGTACATCGTACAACGTTCTATTACACAATGGATTGACTTGGTTGCAGCAGTTTGGATGTAATATTCAACAACTTTTTTTTCTGTGTAGGTTGCCTGTAAATTACTTATTACCAATTCGCGATACATTCCACGTAAAGTTGACCTATAATACAAAACTATTAATGAAACTTACTGGCTATCATAACCATTACCATTAAAGTTCTCAAACCATAAGTGAAATGGTTCCAATATAATTCCTTTCCCAAAAATGTATGTTGAAAACAAGAATTTGGAATGGTAATGGTTCTTAACAACCGATTATTTGTAAAGTTCACTTCCAAAAAACCTTAATAGGTACATAAGGTTCAAACTTTATCACAAAAACGTGCATGTAAAGTTCCATAACCATTTCAGTTTAGCAGGGATTATAAACAATTTTTAACCATTTTCGGTAAAGTCAAGTTATGGTTCGCGGCAGCTATCCGCTATCAAGGGGAACCTCCTTCGAATGGGTGATAGGGGAATTTACGTATTCTCGTCAATCTAAGCAGCGTCCGAACTTCTATTAGCGTTTTCTCAGCGTCACACACATACATGACAGGTTTGTTTGTTGACATTTATCTGCTGTTTGCTGTTCTACCAATTCCAATTGACAGAATTGATCAAAACGGGTTGAACATGTTTTTACAACGCTCCAAACTTCTCAGGTGAGAGTGACTATTGTCGGCAGTCTCTTTTTCTTCGGCACCCTTTCCATTTGAACTGCGTGTTAACCAGCTGTTCTATTATCGGCAACTCGAAATCAGCCGTATTTTGTAGTATGTATATTTCATTTAAAGAAAAATATGGTATAACAGGAATTCACAGTCGTAAAAATGTAATCAGATTGAAGCTGAAAAGGTAAGGAATCGGCTTAATACATTCAGCGAAGAGTTTTGATGGGAAAATACAGTGAAATAAACGTTTCAATTTCGGTTGCCGAAAACAGTCAATGGGTGCCGAAGCCATAATTTACCCTATCAGTTGCTTAGTCATTTGACGAAGGTTATGGAACATTCTCATTTGAGAAACGCTTGATATTATTCAATTGACCACTTTGTCAAGCAGTTTTGGCGTGACTTTCTACCAGCTATTCCACAAAACTGGACCAACTAATTTCTATTTTGTTATGAAACGCACAAATGTTGGCTACTTTTCTCGTGGTTCTAGAAGAAAAAAAATCATAAAATAATGTTTTATTTCAAAGTTCAAGGTGGTAGTAAACGTCATTTTAACTGCTCGAATGAAGTAGTTAATTGAGTGTAACCTACACTCAAAAATATTAGAAAACGAATATAGATTAAATTTTATGCTTTTTCAAAATTTATACATTGGTTCGATTAAAATTTTCGTCAAAATTATACTAAGTCCGAATAACGGAGTGGAATTCGATCAGTGTTTACTAAAATGACAGGAAAAAGAACATCTGGATTCCCTTCGGAGCTTTGTTCCGGCGGATTTTTACTGCGCCTGTGATCTGCTGGACAGCATCGAAATTGTAAGTATTTATTAAATAATATTCATAAAAAATAAACTAATTCAAAAAGCTTCCTGAGACAATTTTTATTTCTATTTGAAAACAATATTTACCATAAATAAAATAGAGAAGCGAACAATACATTCTCTCGAACAAACCGTACCTATGCATTGTAAGTATATTTCGATTTTATACTATGGCACGCATAAAACATTTTTATACTAAGTTTGCATTCTCTCCATTTATACCGACCTTTGCGTCGGTACGGAGAGTTGCGATTTAGCGTAACTTTTATACTATTTAGATTTCAATATTTTTTAAATGTACACATAAACGAAGCTCTGGTCGATATTCCGACGAAAAAGCTAAGCCAACACGACACCAACCTGACTTCTAACACAAACGAAGTGACAGACGACTTTCTCCGAAGAAATTAATTAAAATAATGTGGTTCTCTGTAATAGAATTTTAGTCCACCTTCCGCCCCTCACCGCCAGGTTCGCTAGTAGTTTTGCTTTAAATTAATTCAAGTTGGTTTTGTGTGCAATGATCTGGCAACCCGCGTTCTCGCTCGCGTTGACGAGGTGCTGTTTTCTCACTCATCGAAGGAAATTTTGATTAGAGTGAGAAAGTAAGGAACAGTCAGCGCGGGAACCGTGTGCGTTACTATAGGTGCGGCAGAAGGAATGAAGACAACTCTTTCGTTCTCACGGTGTTCTTACGCATGATCCAACGTTACGTCACACTAGATTATGCATAAGAACGTCGTGATAATGAAAGAGCTGACTTGTTTCCTTCTGCCTCACAAATCACATTTAGATTTTCTTTTTTGATTCCGAGAAAAGTTGACCTGAGTAGCCACTTTGGGAAGCAATGTTTTGATTTCATTCATAATGTAGAGGGATGGCGGTTTCGCTGAAACAGTGAGCAAAAAATAGACGTTTGCTTGTATGGAAAAACGTGGCATACATAGTGGTCCCATTCTACTAGCGGTTGAAGAATATTTCGCTGCTGTGACGATCCGACAAGGAACGTTGATTACGTATTCCGGCCATACTTTTGGACATTGCTGTGCGGACCATTTATTGGTATCATGCTGCCCGGCATTCTTTGTTGCTGAGCAAACATGTTACTGTTATCCTTCCAGCGACCCCGGTGTATCCCTATTGCTCGGAATGATTAAGCTAATACTTTTAAGTATCTAACAAGTGGTGTATAAACCAATTTTGCAGTACCTACATATAGAATTTCTGAAATGTTTGCGTTGTCCTATTTTTCCGTAAATTTTTCTTCTTTCGACAACATTTGTTGGCTTCGTGGTCCAGTGATTATCAGCGTCACGCGTCGCTCACCAGGGTGTCCATTCAAAACCATTTTTTTATTCCCGGTATTTTCCCGGTTATTTAAAAAAAAAATCTGCCTTAAACAAAAAAAAAGGCGTTCAAAATTAACCCTTTGAAGACAGTGATATAGTTTTGTCAGCAGAATTGTTTTACAATACGTCTACTTTGCGGGGCTGGTAGTGAGTATTTTATACAATAAGACAGGTCGGACTCGATTATCCGGAGACTCGATTATCCGGGGTTCGATTATCCGGAATTTTAGACTCGATTATCCGGAGTATTTTTTTGCGTTTTTTTTTCTATAAGTTTTTATGCATCAGACATTTGAAATAATTTAGTATTATATTGTACAATATGATTATTTTAACCACAAACGAAGTGACAGACGACTTACTGGCGAAGAAATCCATTAAAATAATGTGGTTCACTGTAATAGAATTTTCTTGGAAGCTTGTGCCATCATCCACCAGATGGGTTAGTTTTTTTGTTTTGATTTGAACAAAGTTGATTTTGTGTACAATGATTCTTTGACAGTGTGCAAAGAGTGCGTATCATTTTGTCATTTTTTTTATGCATTTCAGTTTTGAGTAGAGTGAAAGAGATAGAACCAAAATATTCTAGTACATTTGGTGAAAATACTAGTTCAATCCAATAGTAGTGTTGCCATGTGGTACAATCCAGTAGTAGTGGTGTTGCCATGTGGTACACTGAAAAATTGCAATAGAAGGTTAGTCACCAAAGTTTTCGAGTCTGTCACTTCGTTTGTGATTTTAACAATATTAGATGTAGCTAAGAGGAGGGGCAGATTTGATTTTTTTTTGTGATTCGATTATCCGGAGGATTTGATTATCCGGAGTGAAAAAAAATCGATACTCCGGATAATCGAGTCCGACCTGTAGTGGCTGTAGAGTCTAAAATAACGAAAAAAGTGACCAAATAGTGAGATTAAAACAGACAAAAATTACCAATAGTGGCATGTATTGATCGGAAAGAAACGAAAGATGTGGTTCCGATCTGTCGTTGAATGCGACCCACTTTGAGAAATATTATAAACTCACAAACCAGCATTTTTCAATAGGTTAATTACTAACCTCCATTTCCTCACTCAGTGCTCATTTTCTTGTCTCTATTTTTGGGAAACCAACCATTTAAGTTGTTTTTAGATTCCGAACGCGAATTGATTATGAATGAATATCGGGATGTGAACGATTGAACATAGTCATTAATTAGGAAATCTTGAAATTGAGAAAAATTGAGGTGCAGAGAGAAAAGCTCAAAGTCTAGTACACATTTGTCAATTTTAAGACAGGCCATTTTAAAGATCTCGAATATAGAAACTTCTGTAAATCTTCGAACATAGACAAATGTTCATATCTCTGGAACCTAGATAACTCTATATAGAGCTAGAATTAGGGCGTAACAGCCTTTGTAAACAATGACTTCTCTTGTTGATTTCTCGAAATTCAAGGCACGCCTACACAAACCAAC